TTCAAACATAGTGCTGTTAGGAGATGACTTTAATGCACAGATAAGTAGTTTAAACCAAACAGAAAGACATTTAGGTGGGTATTTTGGTATTTCGACACAGCGAACGGATAATGGTGATCGTCTGTTGCAACTGTGCTGTAGCAATCGTTTACTTTTAGCAAACAAATTTTAAGCATAAGGAGAGACATCGTCTAACATGGCGACTCCCTGCACAAAATCAACGATGGACTCAAATAGACCATATTGCCATCAGTCATCGTTGGAGAGGGTCAATAGAAGATTGTCGCTCATCCTGGAGTACCTGCTTGGACTCCGACCGTGCCCCAATACGGGCACGCATCTGCTTGCGCCTTACAGGACGCAAAAAAGCCACATTAAAAAGACCCATTGGAACTGAATTGAGTAACGAGAAAACCAAATTAGGTTCCAGGGACAACTGAGGTCACACTTAGGTAGTTCTGAAAACGAGGCTGACCCAGATGTTGCTTGGGAAGATAAACAATCAGCTGTGGAAACAGCAGTGACATCTATTAGTGATTTAAACCACAGGGTTACAAAGAACCAATGGATTTCTTCAAGGTCTATTGCACTGATGGATTCTCGTAAAGTCATCCCATCAGGTTCTGAACACGATGAAGAGCGTAAACAGATCAGATCTAGGTTAAGTAAAAGTCTAAGGAACGACCGTGAGCAGTGGTGGGCATCGAAAGCTAAACAGATGGAAAAGGTGGCGGCTATAGGGGACACAAAACAGCTCTACAGACTAATAAAAGAAACCAGAATTAATAAGTCAAGTGTAAGTCAGACTATTTTGGAAAAAGACGAAGCTCTCATCTGTTCGCAGTCCAGGCGTTTAGAACGATGGGCGGAACATTTTAGAGAACAGTTCAGCTGGCCTTCAGCTACTCTACAACTACCCTCCATTCCCAGACAGTGTGAATGGAACATTGAAGTAGGTCCCCCGACTCGAGCTGAAGTCCAAAATGTTATAGTAAATTTGAAACAAGGAAGGGCAGCTGGTCCAGATGGATTGGTTTCAGAGGTCTTTAAGTATGGTGGTCCAATTTTAGCGATTAGGTTGACTAATATTTTAGCTAAAATCTTGGAGTTAGACGTAATCCCATCTGACTGGTCATAATCACTTATTGTCCCAATATATAAGAGAGGGTCAAAATCATTTTGTGACAACCATAGAGGGATTAGTTTAACTAATATAGCATCTAAAATACTAGCGTAAATAATTATTGGTCGTCTAATTAAGACTCGTGAACTGCAAACACGAGAAAATCAGGCTGGCTTCAGACCTGGTTGTGGCTGCATCGACCACATATTCACCATTCGTCATGTTCTAGAACACAGACATACTTATCGGCGTCTGATAATGGTGGTCTTTGTTGACTTAAAAGCAACATTTGACTCCGTAGACCGCAAGATTCTGTGGCAGTATCTGTCACTGAAAGGTGTACCTCAGAAGTACATAAACCTTATGAAGGCTCGTTACTCGAACACTACTAGTCGAGTCAGAGCTTATGGCGAACTTTCATCTGATTTTGCAATTTCAAGTGGTGTCCGTCAAGGCTCGTAAGCTACTAGTGCTTGACCACAGATGCCTTAGAAATATTGCTGGCATCTACTGTGATCAGCGCTAAGTGAGGTTAGACAGAGGGTATTAGGGAATGATGGTAAATCAGTTGATGAGGTTGTGAATCTTCATCGACTGAGATGGTTGGGCCACGTGATGCGTATGCATGAACACCGATTACCACGACGCGCAATGCTGACCGGTGTTGGGGATGACTGGAAGAAACTTAGAGACGGCCAAACCAAAACGTGGCATCAGTGCTTGAAGTCACTAAATTCTGGTCTTAGCCATGTTGGTAGATGCAGACTACTTAGTTGGGGTCCGCGTGACTGTCGTAACCGATGGTTGAAGACTCTTGGTGACATGGCTCAGAATCGATCACAATGGCGTCGGTGTATACACTCTCTGTTTTCCTTTAAACTAAGAGATTAAAATCGCTTCATATCTTTCTACGTACTAAATCTTTCTTCCTGTACTATCTGCTTATATGCAATCTTTCTTTTATATAGTACCATGATTGGCTTAACTACTTCTATCAATTTGGTGTTCATCTTGTTGTGCTAATGCGGTATGGCAACTTAGACCGATGCACATATGTTCCTAGTCCTATGTTGTAGCTGACTGACTGACTTTGAATATCATAGCTCAAAATCGTTTGCTATGGTGCAGGTGCATTCACTCGTTGTCTTTCCCCGAGATTCCGAGCGTCTGAATTTTTCACTAATATATATTTTTTATTGAATCTTATTTTAATGGTTGAATTCATAAGTCAATTGAAGCTAGACTACAATGGAAAACGACCGTTTCGTCCCAGTATGCGACTCTTCAGTAGTGCGCATACACGATCCCACCTGCGGGATTCGAACCCAGGTCTTATCGGTATAGCGCGCGAACACTTAACCTCTAGACCACTGGGCCGGCGTCTAACAGTGTTAATGTCTAACTCCAACCAATTTACGAAATCGCGCCATCGTCCACCGTTGTCTTCAGTGAGTTACTATATCACAGTAGACCTGTTTGAACTCCGCTGTTCACGGCTTCTCACTAGAACTTCAGGAAATACCTATTGACGCCAGTCACTAGTGACCACATGGTGATTATCATCAGAAGACGGTTTTGTGGAGATTTCAGTAATTTTATTTATTTGATGGATAGTGGCTAGTGGTGGAATCCGCCCCCAAATGCCCTGGTACGGCCGAGAGTGGGGAGAGTCCGCTCTCCCTCTCTAAATGCTCTCACATGGCCACGCGTAGATAGCCTCTGCCAGGGAAGTCCTACTCACTGCCTTCTCGTGGCGGGGGTGTTGTTTACGAAAATGAGAGGACGAAAAGCGAATGTCTGGCGCTTTAACCGGATCCCAAATCAATGGTGCACATGGGCCCCAGTATCCTGCGGGAATAAATGGCGTATGAACCAATCGTTGGTCACCGGCTACCATGGGACTGCATCTCCTCACGATGCTCCACTGCCTTGTGGGTCAGACCTTTAGGTCAAAGGCTCGGGGTGTGGCCCCTTAAGAAAACCACCTGCTTCGGTTTGGGCACCCGGGCAGTATCACAGTCCTCACACAAAGCAAATGAGATTTGTGTGGCACATATGTATTTGGTGCCTTCTTGTACTAATATCTATGTCTTAAATAAAATAAATAAGTAACGGAATCCAGGACGCCCGTTTCGTCCTATTTGGGACTCGTCAGCTGGATGTACCTGCATCTCAGAGTTGATGTTCACTCTGGGACTCGAACCCAGTACCATCCGCTTCAAACACCATCGCGTTATCCACTCAGCTACTGAGCCCTGATAGCCACTTGCTTGTGCGATGGAGTGAATTTAAATTCACTTGGTATTGTTTGGCTTGTATCTTCCCATTGAGGTTTAAGTCTACTGGGTTCGAGTCCCAGAGTGAACGTCAAATCTGAGATTCAGGTACATCCAGCTGACGAGTCCTAAATAGGACGGAACGCACGTCATGGATTCCACTGCTAGATGCTATCTATTATTGCTTACTACAAAAAGCTTGTGAATTATGGCAATATCGAGGCATACGCACAGTATGCACATATGCCAATAACAGACTGATCAATTGCAGTCTTAAACCTCAATAGGAAGATACAAGCCAAACAATACCAAGTGAACTTAATTTATTTGAATTCATGAATCAATGGAAGCTGGACCACTATGGAAAATCCGAAAGCACTGGATGGCCGTTTCGTCCTATTATGGGATTCCTCCTGATCCAATCGACTCATTGATCCAATTATTAAAATACTAAAATCTCCGCAAAACCCTTTTCTGATAATAATCGTATTTTCGATGCCTAATATTTGCTAGTACCACTGATAATGTTACCGCGTCTACTGTTCTTGGTTTTGATGTGAAAGTTTCATCTTTCTGAACTAATGGAGTATGGCAACTTGAACCTATGTGTACACGTAGCATTTTGTATGTTGCGTCTGCAGTTAAGACTTGATCAAGACTAAAACGAAATTGACAAATAAAATTTTCAAAACAACAATTATGTGAAGAAAATTCGATCATCTAGGTGAATATGACTCATTGTCTTGTATTAAATAATGCAGAAAAATGCTGGTCAAATGCTTTTAATACATAGAGGTATATGAAAGTGCAATATTGTGATCCGTAAAATTGAAGTTGTAAATACTAGCTATTGTTGATATATGAAACTAAAGCCAGATAGATCACAGAAAGGTTTACACTAGTATTTTTAATGAATATTAATTATAGATGAATTGAAGGTGGAGAAGAATGATAAACCCTTCCCTGTAAACGTTTGCTCGTAATCTCTAACTATATTATGGTAAATAAGTTCCTTTAGGTATCAACTTACAAATGATTATTGGAAGTACTTGTTAATATATCTGCATTAAATATAAGGTTCAATAAATCCTCGACATGAATATAAACGGATCAATTTGCGCTTATCATAATTTTTCAAGACATGATCTCAGACAACCTTCGACGAATTCGGTTTGATAATTATGTCACAAACAGAAAAAGAAATTAATGTTGTTACTTTTCTGACCACTGAAAATGCAAGATTTTCAATTAATTGACACTTTAAACTTTGTAATACTGTATGTGTATGTATGTAAACGCATACATGAAAGATAATATTGTACTACTGTTTTTCATTTCCTGATGCATATCATGGAAAGAGACCAGTAGATCACTAAAAGACTAATAGTTTAAATAGCCCTTTTCGATCCATTTCGTTGAATATTTATAAAAAACTAACATGGGCAAATAAATTATCTTCTGAAAGTGGGATGAAACCCTTACTGAATACTTCTGTGTATTCTCCAAAGTAGGAGAGTACTTTGCTATCAGTTAAAAGTATTCTCTTGTTTTTAATTGATGAAAAAGAACTTTACATCTAACTATTTTTTTGCATTTCTTAGATTTCTCAACTGTTTTATCTTGTACACGTAACAACACTTTAGAAATTGTGGATTTACGTATGAATCAAGTTACACAATGCTTGAAAGCTGATGGTTTTCAAACAGGTTTAGATATAGTTCGACCATGTTTCTCACCTGACTCAGATTATGTAGCTGCTGGCGGACATGACGGTGGAGTTTATATTTGGAGCACAGTTTCAGGGAATTTAGAAATTTGTCTCCGTGACCACACGTATGTTTTGATTTCTGAAATTTTCATCTAAATCTAAACGTACTTTAGAAAGTTGTGTAATCGCTACTAAACTGATTTCTTTGTGAAACAGTTATCGATTTCTTCCTGTTTCCTCTTCATCAGTTCCTTTTTTATCCTTGGGATGCTTGAAGCCTGCTTATTTGATATAAACTGCACACTCAAATCTATTTAATAACATTAATGATAAAAAATAAAGTAGGTAGGAAAACAAGTATTATTCCATTATATGATACAATCGGTAGACTTCATTGAAGTCTTTATTTTCTTTTCCCTCAAGGTACAGAATTATCGCTTATTCATTTTTTGTTCTTAGATAGCTCGATATTAAACAATTTCATTCTCATTTAACTATCAGGTTTTAATCAATATGTTGTTTACGAAGCAATATATCGATAGCTCATATTACTATAAATGAATACAACTTACGACTCATTTCTGAGTATTTTTGTGAGGATACTAAGGGCTTGTTTTTTGAAATTCTTCTAGTTTGAAGTTGAAATATAAATACGATAATAAATGTTTAAATTATGTTATAAAATATGATAGATGGTCGTGACGATTACTGTTTGTGGCGACTGTAAAAACACTGTTAACTAAATATCAGCACTAAGTGCTCAGAGTGAATTTTGTTTGACATTTTTTTATTTTAGAAATATATACTTGAAATGTTTAAGGTATTTTCCTTACTTGTAATCATCACATTTGTAAAACCACGAAAGCTAAACTGATGGGAATGACAATTCAAATTATTTTGGTGTTCTGGAATCATATACAAAAGATATTGAGTTTGTGTTTTTTGAAAATCACTTCTCATGAGGATGTACGCTTTTAATTTTGTAATTCGTTTATCAAGTACATGTATGTGTATCTATCAGGCTTTAAGCCACACTTTCAATAAGCTTAGTGTTCATTAGTCAAGCTATTGGTTATATTTACTGTGTCATCTAATATTGTAAATTTACTATTTCTCTAAATTTAATGTATATGAAATGCCAGCATATATGTATATAATATGATAGTAACTGTTTGAAAAAGTGCACTAAAAAGTTTGTCATCTCAAGTATGGATATTGTGTTAAGTTTATTTCTACGTGAAAAACGTGCATACCAGGAATATATTACGAACTCGATAAGGCGGAAACTACCATATATAACTCTTCAATAATAATCCCTAGCATTAAAACTCAAAAGAACACAGCACTGCGAAAAAATTTGGTATTTAGCAAAGAAAAATTCAAATGGAACAGATTTTTATATATAGTAAAAAACATAACCTTTGGACACTGGAGATTAGCAAACTGAAGGTTTTAACAAGCAGTATTCAAAGAGCAAAGGCTATACGAAAATTTGAACTTAAATGTAATTGTGGTTATCTCTACAAGTAAGCACTAACACTTGTTCACATAACTGAGTAACATAGGACCCTCTTAGCAGTATGTATACTCGATATAGAAACAAAAATAACTGAACTACTCTTCGATCATTTGAACTTGTCATATTGTTCCCAGTTATCTACAATCTACTTAAGTTAAATCTTGATATGGTTATACTTTCTATGCATCTTTTTCTGGAAGCCCAACCAATCAACTGTCTTTCGTTACTATACGGAGTGTCTGCACTACTGATTTAAAGAAAGTAAACCCTACTTGTGGAATATTACTTTTTCGGATGCGTTAGCTTAAGCCTCTCAATACATTGGGATTTAAGGTGATGTTGAGACTAGCTATGCTTCATACTTAACTGGAATGCTCATATATTTCAATCATGAGACCTTGAATATGTTATACTTTCTCGTTGATTATTCATGCATACTTAAATTCCTTCACATTCATTATATATATTAAATGTATTTTAAACTTTCAATTTCATATTTTAAATTTACATTTCGCATGCGACTCTTTAAATCTACTATTGTGTCATGTCACTCAGTTTAAACTCATGTGTTTCATTTCAGAAATATTGTCGTCTGTTGTCACTGGAATCCGAATGGTAATTCTTTAGTTTCATGTGAACGTATTAAGAAAGCAATTGTTTGGTCTAGTTTGTAAAAATCCATGGCTATGGTATTTATTTACTTACACATAGTCTTCCAATAAACATTCTCTTTAATCCGGCTTTACTTTAATTCTTTCAGTAGTCGTTTGTTTTTGTCTTGTTCTTTCTTACCAGATATTTTCCCTTCTCTCTCCCTTCATATTTCCTAATTTAAACTCTATTTGTAATTTTTTATTACATACGTGATAATGGTTATAATAGGTTTCATTATATTTATAATTAACTAAATCAACCTACGATTTATGTATAGTATTCGTAATTAATTTATGTATTAATTTTCTTCTAATAAAAAAGATAATATTGAGCAAAATGCACTTCTTTTTTGTACCCCACTAGTTATGAATGTCTGATATTCATAATACCGATTGTTTTCTTCATTATTATGCTGTTACTTTCATTTTTAAAATAGGTAGTCAATGTTTCAACTTCTGTTAATTTAATCCTATCATGTTAAGTTGGTATGGCAACGTCAGCCAACACACATTTGTGCTAGTCTCTACATTGATTATGACTGTTTTAGCATCTAAAGGTATACAACTGTTTTTTCTTGAGGGAAAAGAAACATATTTATTCTTTTTTGATAATGTAAGTTTTATTCAAATTTGAACAAGCCACTCAAATTTGACTAATGTATGAGATAATTCTATGGATTGTAATGAAATTAGCGTGTGCCCTAGTAAAAGTCGTTCACTGTACTTATGTATGAGATAGTTGACAGGATGACTGAGTACAAATCTAGAATAATCGTGAAGAGCAAGCACCTCAGAATAGTAAGTATTTTCTTAGGGCAAGATAATAAATTAAGAATTGTGGATCAATCATATCTATTCTTCTACTTAACAATTGTTAATTTTATAATGTTCTGTGCAAATCAGATAAAAACCGTAATTCGGTCTCTTATCTTAAATGTTTGTACTACTCTTCTTATGATTATTGACTGTAAGATAAAGCAAATGGTTCTTATACATAAACTGGAGCACACTTCCGTCATGTTCACCAAAAAATATTCGTAAACTAATCATCTGAGTCACTTAAAAGCCAACACACATTTCAATTTGGAATATTCTCCCTTCGGTTTTTGTTTGTCAAGTGAAATAGAATATGAAAATGGGTAACCAATCAAATGGCAAATAAGTAATTATGGTAAACAAATGCTAGAGAGATTTTCCCAAGATTCAAAAGTAGTGCTCTTAGCGTTTGTTTAATAATAATTAAGTGATTGTGATAGTTACCAATCAAAATGCATAACCTCCAAGTATTTTAGCCTAGCCACTTCAAATTTACAGAGCAGTTCACTTATCATAGAAACTCGTAATCAGCCTAGATAGACCAAAAAACTGTAGGAATTTTTTTATTTAATATCGGGCTCGTTACTTACTACAATTCATGTTTATTTATGAGTTAACAAATCAACGCGCCGCTAACTAATTAGGTTACAGCCACAAAATATTCACAAACTTGAATTTAAAGATGATTTGCAATCCATAACCCGTGACACTTATCTTCGGGATAAAATTTGATAGAACTTTGAATTTGACTTTTATGCTTTGTTTTATGACTCACTCCTATAGTCACCGGAAATAATCTTGAATAGTGATGATAAATCGATCTCATGTGTACAGCCGGTTACGAACATTTATATGCGCAACCGATCTTCGAATTATTCTTAATCTGAAAATGATATAAGAATAATCCAGATTTGAACGATGACTAGTTTTTATCACTATCCGAAAATATGTTCCAAATAATCTAAGCACAGTCTTTGACTGAATACAAAAAACATGAAGTACAATCTCATCAATTCTTAGGATGATCCCAAAATCCTAACCATATCTGATGATTCTTGTGTACGACATAAAATATTAATGATATGATGGAAAGAAAGTCAATTTTCGATCGATTCACTCATTATAAGTTTTATTCAAAATTACTTCGGTTTTGATTCAATGTAATTATTACTCAATGTAGTATTTCTTTTCTTTTCTCGTATGATATTTTATTCTGTATAATATACGATATTCTTGTATTTCATTGACTATGAACTATGCTCAATATGTGATTTGTTATGATTCTGAGTATTTTTCATATATGTGATTTCATTCTAATTATTAATCAAAATGGGTGTACAATCAATATATAAATGAGTGTATTTTCGGCTAAGGTCGTCGTCATCATCATAGTGTTTTGGGGCTAATAAAACTTCGCTTATATTAGTCTTGTGTTCTTACTTTCGCGTCGTGGGAATTGTGGAGGTCCCTTCGTTCCGAGCTTAAGTGGTCAGCGATTCCGACATAACAATCAGCGACGACCAGATACAAAGTAGCATTCGATTCACAAGTCATAACAATTAACACTTGACTTAAATAACGTTTAAAGTTTTGTTATAGATAACAAAACTTTAAAATTTCGTTACCATATTCGTTCTAATTTTTTAGGTTTTATGATTAGTCACAAGTACCCGTATTACAAAAATTCGCAACTCGACTATACAAGTAAAGTACCACAAGGTACTAAAATTCGTATATCACAATACATGCCTTATTAGCACATTTAAAATACTAAGCTGTGTAACACTCAGTTAATTGTTAGTAATTTTTCAGCGAATAAAGTTATATCATCAATCGATAGCTTAATATTAAGGATATTTGATTCGAACTTAAGTAACCATCTAATAAATACAATATAACTTGTCAAATATTAACTAAAGTTTTATATTTTCCTTTTCTCAAGAATTTTCAACATAGACCGAATAAATGCTAATTGTCGCCTTAGTTATTCTAATTCTCAGGCAATGTTTAGTTTTCAAAATTGTATACATTTTCATGTTCAAATAATACTAGATAAGTAGAAGTTGTGTAGATGTACTGAATATTATTGTTTTTAAAAAAAAATGATCTCTCCCTATTATTTTTAAATACTTGAATAGGTAACCATCTTAAATAGTCTATATGTTGGTTTTCTTTCGGATAAGATTTCCATTTATTTCTGGTTACTGACCCACAAATAAGTAATAAGAATAAAATTTAAAAATATTTTTATGTGTACTGCTTTATCTTATTTATACATTTATATTTTTATTTAAAATAAATTACCACTCCAATCTACTTTGATTATTTATTATTTTAAATGTATGCTAAATCTTTTAAACATTTTATGACTTTTTGAACTATCTTGAATTCATAAGCAAATATGAATAGTGGCTACCAATCGAATCGAGGACGTACGTTTCGTCCTGTTTGGGACTCGTCAGCTGGATGTACCTGCATCTCACTCTGGGACTCGAACCCGGTGACGTTCTCTTCAAACGCCATCGAGTTATCCACTTAGCTACTGAATCCTGATAGCCGCTTGCTTGGGCATTGTGATGAAGTTTAAATTCAGTTTGTATTGTTTACTCGAATCTTCCCATTGATTATTAGGACTGCAATTGGTCAGTCTCTTATTGGCTTATCTACATACTGTGTGTATTGCCTTATCCATCATTGCTTATAATGCTTGTAAATTAAGGCAATATCGAGGCATTACGCACAACATGCACATATGACAATAAGAGACTGATCAATTGCAGTCATAATCATCAGTGGGAAGATTCAAGTAAATAATACCAAGTGAATTTATCTTGAATTCATTTTGATAACTTTTAATATATATATATATATATATATATATATATATATATATATATATATATATATATATATATATATATATATATTCACCTTTAGTAGCCCCCACTGCAAGAAAATGACTGACATTTTTGAAATAACAGCTTTCCATAAACCATTCTACGTTCAAAATGGAAACATTTAAAACACAAACTATTCATTCCTTTTAACAATAACAAAAACTTGAAAATGATCATCTTTCCTAAAATGGTTATTGATAATTCATATTTGTTGGTGATAAACTTCGTTATTGTTCCACTTAATCTTTTTTACACATTTCTAGCGAGAATGCCTACTGGAGATAAACAGCCGGAAAAGCATAAGAAAGAGTCTATAATCGATTTAAACAAGTATATAGATAAGAGAATCCGTGTCAAATTTTCAGGTGGACGGGAAGCTGTTGGCATCTTGAAAGGATGCGATAATTTACAGAATATGGTGATTGATTGTACTACTGAATTTCTTCGTGATCCAGATGATCCTCATCGTTTGACTGAAGATACAAGAGAACTTGCCCTTGTGGTTTGTAGGTTAGTTTTAGCGTTTAGTTCTATAAGAAATTGCTCCAAATTATTAATCGTCATCTGTTATTCTTACTTAGTATTTAACAGCTCTATTCTTTGATTACGTTTTTTTTACCGGAAATAAGAATTTCTGCTACTGTTTAGTTGTTCCTCAACTAGTGTTTGATCATAGATTCTTAATATTTAAGTGTACTAAATACATCAATACTGACTTACGTTGTGTAACACCAAAGCTCTTGAAAAAACTACGGTAATTCATTAAAGTTCAAAAAACGTCAAATAATTGTTTTTTCAGGTTTACAAATCCGTTTTCAAACCTACTGTCCTATATTAATTATTTAACTTGAATCAATAGTTTTCAAAAATGAAGCAGACGAAAGCAAAGTTGTATTCAGGTCTTGTCACAAGAATTTCAGATAATATTCTTTTGAAAACTAGGTAGTTACATTTATTGCAATAACTAGATAGCCTTTCTTATGCTAACGAGAATCTCTAAAGCTGTCCTGAATTCACTTGATTTATACGTGGATATCTTATATAAAATTAGATGCTACAACTATCTTGTTAAACTTCATATCAAAAGGCAACCTAAGAATGCTGAATCAATATTATTTATAATTTGAAAATTAATGCTCAAATGCCTTGTATCATGCGAAAATGATCTCTTGTTGAGTAATTATCGTTTAGTAATTAGTCAAACTGTGGTCAAAATGTAAGGAGTTCTGAAGTTGTAATCTGTATTTCGATTTTCAAGAAACTACGTGTTCTCTAGGAGAACGTTATGGAAACTCCTTCGACACTATG